TGGAGGGCAGTAGGTGGCAGGGGGACGAGGGGCGCCAGGTCCAGAGCGTCCCCCGCAGCAGAGAGGCCGCTTTCCCTGCACCGCCTCCTGGCGAGAAGCGCTCCGATGGAGCGGGCTGACGGGTTAGCCATGGCCAGGAGCAGGATGGAAAAGGCACAAACCGACTGCCCTTTGGCTCTGACTGGGTCCTGAATAAGTTTTAATGAGTTGGGAAGGTTTTGGGGATCGCAGCGCTGGTCCTCAGTTGCACTGGACCGTTAATTGCTGACCAGAGTAGTCGTCCAGGCATTCTGCTCCCGTTTGCTAACTGGGTTTTATCTCCGTAGGTCTTTCGTCTCGTGTAAAAAGCTTTTGTACAAGAGGCTCCTACACTGAGGAGCTTTGATGTCAGTCAGAATGGACTGAGGTTTCTGTGCAGGCTGTTACGGGCTACATTAAATAAACTTTGCTGCTGGGATGTGGGTTCTCTGAGGTGCTCATTGGGGAGAAAAAAAAAAAGTCTCCCTATGGGTATTGTGATCAGTGGAACTGAAAGGAATTATTGCAAGAGCAATGCACCAGGAATTGTTTGGTTAAGAGTAGTATATGTCTCAGCTCAATGAAAAGTTGTCATGATGTAGGAGTTATCTCTTGGAATTCTATGGCCTGTATAATAAAGGAGGCTGAGAGAACTAGGTAATGGTAATAGTCCGTTCTGACCTTAAAACTTACTCATTTAGGAAACATCTGTTTCCAATTAAAGAGATTTGAGCTTGTATTAAAAAAAAAAAACAGGGGTCTGAAAGGCTAACTGTGGAAGCCTTTCTGAAAGCAGCTTGCCATTTTTGATTTTCCCCGTTAGGAAGACTGATTGGCATCCCATTAAAATTTCTATTTTGCTACTATAAATGTTAAGAGTCTGATTTTGGTGTATTAGATATATTCAACCATTATATTTTATATATAGGTGTAGGCCTGTCAAACACAGTGAATATAACAGGTGAACAAGTAAAGAAAGTAAAGCAAAAATTGCATCTTTTCTTTTGCTACTCCTTTTAAGATTTGACTGATATTTCGAAGGCTTGGAAAAAAATATAACTTCCTTACAGATTGTGCTGCCTGTTTGCTTTGCTTGATTCTCCCAGTAGCCCAGTTCCGTAGGCTGTTGCCGACTGATTCTCTTGTCTGTGGATCCACCCATGTTGCAATTTATGGCTGACAGCCAAGTAACATGTACTATTGGGGTGCAAGAGAACAGTGAAATGTTCAAATGGGTCTTAGGGATGGGGTTGAAGCAAAGGAGGAAAAGTAAAAGCTTGCTTCAGAGGAGAAAGGCTATAAAAATGCCTCCCTTTGGGGATTAGTTCGTAGCATTTTATAAATTGGCTTGCATCAGCCAAGTACAGCACAAAATGTACTGCACAGAAGAGCTGCTATTATGTACAGTAGCCACTTCACTGATTGCAATCAATGTCACAAATTAGAGTGATCTCCTGGCTTGAGATCTGTTAGAGATAAAGTCTGTGTAGTGAGTCATGCTGTCTGGACACCCAGCTTCTGGGTGCTCTGTCTTAGCCTCAACAATTTCCACTTTGTGACTTTCATTTTTTTTGGAAATGAATTTGTGCTTTCTTTAATTATGTAAATGTGCAACACACATAATCGCATCTGAAGGGTATTCAATGCTAAAAAGAAATTCATGTTTGCTTTTTTAGTTTATATTGAAGTTAATTTTTCTTTTTTCCAGCAGAATTTTCACTCAAAAATCGCTGATTTTTTTTCTGTAAGCCTTACCCAGGAGTTTCAACAGAAATGTAATGTTCCTCATACTGTCTTATTCCTCTTCCAAATGCCTAGTGATGATTTTTCCATATCAGGCAACTGTTTTCCTAATTTTCATACTGTGCTCTGAATATATCTTCTGCTGTCTCCATTAGATTAAAAAGAGCTGTAAAAGCAATATCTTGCGTTTTATGCCCTGCTCACAGTTTTTACATGTTGGCAGGTAGAACATCACTATTCACACAAGGACAACACAAGCTTCTATCCGTGCTGAAGGAGGATGTGTGACTGGGAGCATTTTGTCTACAGGGAGGTCAGTGTAGAATCATCTGTGTGTGCCTTGAAGCAGGACACTATTTCTGTGGATTATGAGCATCCACATCTGTACCATTAAGGAAGAGTTGCTGGTTCGTGGTAGGATCATGCTTCTCTATACTGTCCATTCAATAACTTGCCTTAGTGATCCCTCATGTTTCTTAATGGGGGACAATTAAATGAATGGTGCCTAACCCTTCTTGCTAAAACATGGCAAAGGTTATTTCTGTTAAAGGAAGGGTCAGGGCTTCAGTTTTGGATTAAATGCTAGTGAAGTCAATGTAGATTAGTGAGGCAGTTCAAGGGCATCATTTATTTCCTAGTAACTTTAAGATCATGAGGTGCGGATCTGTCTGACTGCAGTTGGGCTGGGTGCTTTCGCACCTTAGCGTTTCTCTCTCTTAATCAGTGTCTGTAAGTACCTCAAGGGAGGGAGTGAAGAGGATGGTGCTGGTCTCTTTTCAGAGGTGGCCACCAACAGAACTAGAGGTAATGGCCACAAACTGAAGCACCAAAAGTTCCACAGGAACTTAAGGAAAAATTTCGTGACAGTGAGGGTGCCAGAGCACTGGAACAGGCTGCCCAGAGAGGTTGTGGAGTCTCCTTCTCTGGAGATCTTCAAAACCCACTTGGACGCAGTCCTGTGCCACGTGCTCTAGGTGACCCTGCGTGTGCAGGGGGGTTGGACTAGATGACCTCTAGAGGTCCCTTCCAACCTTAAGCGTTCTATGATTCTATGAAACTGACATGTTTCATTCACAAAGAGTTCAGAACATGATAGGCCTCTACTGTTTGGTTTATGAGTAGCTTCTTATGTTCTCTAGCTTGTGAGTATATATTTTTTTTAATATTTGACATATGAGCCATTTTCCCCAATGAAACTTTAATCAAGGTTTTTGTTTCACTCATGCTACCATTCTTTGGTGGACTACCTCGGCACCTGACAGTGCACTTTACAATGGAAACAAGAGAAGACCACTTTATAGCCTCCTAGAAATAGAGGGTGATGAGAAAAGGATGATGTGAGAAATGTAGGCAGCCCCAAATAAAACTGTAACAAGAATTATGTTTCTTACAATGTTTCTTCCTTACAATGTTTGCAGCTGTCTTCCTCACCAGTCTACTTTATTGCCAACAAGTAATAGCTGGCAATATTGCAGTTCTGTGTCACTCTTATCTGAATACAAGTGCCTGTGGAGTGACACTTGTTCTATGTTTTTTCTTGATGTTTTCCACACATAGGCAAGATCCAGACTCCAAACTGTAGATCCATGGTCCTACCTCTTTATTTCCTAGCACACAGGAGATTTTATCAGGTAACAGATAATTGTATTCAGCAGCAAAGAAATAACATACCAGTGCTGCTAAATGGTGCTTATACATTTGCAAATAATGCTATAATTGCATATGAAAGTTTCCCCGACATCTTCTGTCTTCCTTCCTGCTAGCTTAGTTTATCAGGAATCAAATCGAATGATAAAATAGATCCTATGTGGCTCCTAAGGGATGGAGTTAGCTGGTCATCCACATAATTTCCATTTTGGTGTTGTGCTGGCAAGTCACAGGCCAAACAGATGAGACTATTTCAATAGGGGAACAGTAGCCAAGAAGGAGAAAATGATTTAAAGCAGGAGAACTTATGCCCTAATTCCCAGAGATGTCTCCAGTTTATGCAAAAAGATGTGAAGATACAGTGGAAAGGAAAGAAAAATTCTAATTTACTTCCTGATGACAGATAAAAGCAATGTTATGTGAAGTGAGACTGTAAAGATAGCATGACTTTGCACCCCCAGTGGAGTGTATAGACAGTTCTGGGCTTTTAAATATATAGCCTGGGTCTGCCTATCTCATTTTTGACTGCAGTGTGATAACTTTGATCTCTTTGGTATTACCATTTTAGTTTTCTTTCTCTTTTTGTTTCAGTCACCTTCTAGCATATTGTCTGACCTTTTTTTTTTTTTCCCACTTTGTGACACATACTGTCTGGTATTTAAATTTTTGCTGAAAGATATTCAGGCATAAAATCTCCATTCATTTAGTGTGGGTAAGCATATTCATATCTGTAAGAAGTCCCAGGAATCCAAACACCACTTTGATTCTGATCTTTGCTTAATCCTCTGTGCTTAAAATTTGCTTATTTATGTATGTACTTTTCCCCCAATCCATATAGTGAATAAAGTGAGTATACTCTTGTATCAGAGATTGTTTTGACCTTTAGAAATGCAAAGTCCGAAGAATCTAGGGAAATATACTATCTACAGATAATTTAAAATACTGCAGTGGATTAGTGAATACTTTTATGTCTTTGTCATGAAAATACATCATGAAAATGTAGAACTCAGATCATGGCTGAAAAGTTCACAAACACAAAATCTGCAGAGTACATGGGGTTTTAAATACCTGCTTCAGTTCTCTACCGTGTGGTTGATTTAGACACATGATGGGATTTATTTAAAGGGACACAATCAACCTGAAAATAACAGTGCTGCCTGAAAAATTTATACTGAGTGTAATTATAAGTAACAACCGAGATTACTATAATTGAAAAAAGTTAATGAAAAAAAACTCTACTTTTTTGATTGGTTTACTTTGTGCGTTTGACAGCTCTCTGTAATCATTATAATACCTGCCTTTTATACAGCACTTTTCATCAGAAGGCCGCAAAGTCTTTACAAAAATATAGACCATTTCCTTTTATGTATAGGCAGTTTTACTGTTTCTTCCACAGTCAGTCAATTTCTTCTTGTCTGAAAGACTTTTATAAACATCAAGTCAGAACCAAGAAAAAAATCCAAAGCATTTTATAAAATGACAGATGTACTGTTTAAAGAAAGATCACTATCAGCTGGATTTAATTAGCCACATTGTAAAGAAAAGGTTGAAAATATCTTTGAGATCTTAAAATTGGAACAAGAGGTTGCTCATTTAGTATATTAATAATTTAAAATCTGTCTCGGGTTTTTAATGTTCTTAAATTATTTTCTCAATTCCATTAAACCCATTTAGCATTGTATTAGATATTTAAGAAGACAGCATCACAAAGTGCTACCAAAATTATCAAATGCATATTAGAAATTAATTGACTGGGCAGCCTTTTGCTCATAAAGACAAAGACACCTAGAAATAAAGGAGTTCTTTCTTAGTCTCATGAAAACCTATGTTTTATTTCTCCTTTATCTCATTTTTCCCACTTTACAGTACTAGGCTCTTAATTGTTTGCTGTTGGTGTGTTCGAAAACTTGCATTTCCAACTTTCAGTTAGAAAATATCTTGACTCTTGAAGGGGAAGTTTGTGAAGATTGTTGCCTTTGTGGGAAAAAATGCACATTAAATGCTTCTAAGATGTTCAAGTAGTGAAATAAATATAGGGAACAATGTTTGGTACCTTTTGCTTTTCAAAAGACTTTAGATCTCATAACTATACCTCCTCAGCAGCATGTTCTGCTTTTTTGTTAGATTCATCTTTCTGGCCTACTTTTCAAACTATGTTTTAACTCAAACTCCAACTCTTTTCCCTTTCCCTCTATTTGCTGAAGCTAGCAATCCCATGCTGAGTAAATAATCTATAGTCCATGATCTACGATCCTATCAGCCTTGTTATCCTGGCTCCAAATACCCAAAATGTTGGATACCTAGCTGAAAAGTATTCCCAGGAAGGCTTCCCTAATGACCTTCCCCACTGGTTACTATCATCATTGCTTATACACAGACAGAACTACCTTGTAATGCATTGACTATATTTGGAAAAATTAATTGGGAGTTCTTAGGGTGTTTTTGTTAGGAAAAGTGACATTTTTGAAGTTAAGAAAAATATCCCAATTCACTTTCTTTCATTAGATATAACAAAACATCACTAGAGAAAACGTATTCCCAAACGTATTTCATTCTCTTGCAATAAAAGCAGTTTGGTATCCAAATCAATCAGCAGATGAGATTATTGCAGTCATTTGGCTGTCCTGACATTTTTAAAACATGTTTTTGACTGCATTTATAAAGTATTTAATATATGCTTAAATACAGTGCAAACATACCATTACTTATTAAATTATAGAACGTAATGAAGAAAAGGTTTATACATACATTAAATATCAGAATGAAGGAAATGACTCTGTACAATTGACAAAATGTTATTGTAGCTTAACTGGCAAGCCTGCATATAAACCTTACACCTTCACTAATGTAATTTAAAAAATCATGAACTCTTGTGGGAAAGAAACTTTATCTGGCTGATAGAAAAGCTTGCATCTCAGCCACTAAGGATTTTTAAAATGCCTTTTTTTTTTAGGAATAAGAATGATTGATTCATTTATTTTTGTATTTTGGACTGTTTCCAGATAAATGCAAAATCTACAGGACTGCTAGTATTACAGAATCACAGAATGGTTGAAGCTGGAAGAGACCTCTGGAGATCATCTAGTCAACTGCCCTGCCCGAGAAGGGTCACCTGGAGCATGTTGCCCAGGATTGTGCCCAGACTACCATTCCATAACCTTTCCAGAGATCAAAATCTGTATTTCTCCTCGCCTTCTTCTTGCTCTGCTTGGAGACTGGAGCCTTCTTCCAGTCCTCAGGCACCTCTCCTGCTCTCCAAGTCCTTTCAGAGATGATAGAGAGTGGCCTAGCCATAATATCCATCAGGTCCCATAGCACTCATACGTGCTGCCTACCAGAACCCATGGACTTGTGGATGACAGGTTTTCCTGAATTTTCCTACCTGATCCTCATCAATCAAGGGAAAGTTTTCCTTTCTCCAGACCTTCTCTCTTGGTTCCAGAGTTTGGGAATCCTGAGGGTTTGCCTTAGCAGTAAAGATTCAAGCAAAGAAGACATTCAGTATCTCTGCCTTCTCTGCATCATTTGTCACCAGGGTTCCTGCCACATTCTTTAGCGGGTCCACATTCACCCCCTCTTCCTTCTGTTATTGATTTAAATATAAAGAAGGTTTTCTTGGATTCCTTGACATCCCTTGCCATATATAATTCCAAACGGGCCTTGGCCTTGCTATTATTCTCTGAATACTTAAACAACATTCCTCTAATCCCCCTATGTGCCTGGTCCCTGCTTCCATCTTCTGTAGACTTCCTTATTCTGTTTGAGTTTTGCCGGGAGCTCCTTGTTCATCCACGCCGGTCTTCTACCCCCTTTTCTTGACTTGCTGCTCATAGGGATGCACTACTCTTGAACTTGGAGGAGGTGATCCTTGAATATATTAACCAGCTCTCCTGGACCCCTCCTCTCTCTAGAGTCCTATCCTATGGGATTCTCACTAGAAGGTTCCTGAAGAAGCCAGAGTTTGTTCTCCTGAAGTTCAGTGTTGTGATCATACTTTCTGCCCTGCTTCCTCCTTGCAGGATCCTGAACTCTGCCATCTCATGGTCACTTTAGCCAAGGCTTCCCCTAGCCTTCACTCTTCCAACTAGTCCTTCTTTGTTTGTTAGTACAAAGTCCAGTATTTCCTTGTTGGCTTCTCCATCGTCTGTGTCAGGGAGTTTTCATCAATGCACTGGATTGTTTGTGCCTTGCTGTGTTATTCCTCCAGCAGATTATCAGAGAAGACTCCCATGAGGATGAGAGCCTGTGGTTGTGAGGCTACCTCCAGCTGTAGAAGGCCTCGTCAACTATGTCTTCCTGATCAGGTGGCCCATAGCAAACACTCACAGTGACACCCATGTTAGCCTACCCTTTAATCCTTGCCCATAAGATCCTGACCTGCTCACCACCTACCCCTAGGCAGAGCTCCATGTGTTCTAGTTGCTCTCTCAAAAAAAGGGCAACTCTCCCACTTCTCCGTTCTGTCCTGGCCTTCCTAAAGAGCCTGTAGCAATCCATGGCAGCATTCCTGGCGTGTGAGCTATCCCACCATGTCTCTGTAATTGCAATGAGATTGTACTGTGCGACCGCATGCAGAGCTCTAATTCCTCCTGTTTATTCCCCAGGCTGTGCATTTGTGTACAGGCACTTCAGGCACTTCAGAGGGGGATTCTAGCATGCTGGTTTCCCAGGAGGAGTGCAAGGGGACTCCCCATAGCCTTGTCTTGTAAGTTCTTCCTTAGCTTCATGCAATTCCTGGAGGTAATCCCACTTAAGGCCATTTTGCTGACTGCCTGGTCTCCAACGACTTTCCTGTCTTTCTTGTTCAAAGCTCTTACCAGCTTGGCCAGCCGGCTGGCCAGCCCTTTTAACCAGGTTAGATGTTCTGCACTGCTGACCGCCCAGACTTGCAGATGCAAAGAGTGTCTGAAAAAGAGCTTTTCAGAAGGAGGCCACCCTTATATCTAGGTCAGCCGTACAGCTTACATTTAAATGTTTTAAATAATACACAGGATAGAGGGGTGGATTCTAGCATTTCTGAATAGTTCCTGTTTTTTGAGCCTTCTGCAAATAAAAATATGTAGCTGCTTCTTCGTTGCCTTTCATGAAATTTCCCTTTCCTGTTAGTCAGGAGCATGTCTGAAACACTAGAAATAACTAGAAAGAGGCAGTTATATGCAAACTGTCTTACTAATTAAAGTGCAATTATGCAACTAGGGTAACTGATAGATGGATCAGAGTTATGAAATTGGTGTTTAAAGCTAGAAACTGTGATAGGTGAAAAACCCAAAGAAATACAGTAAAATTCAGTAAAATTCACTGAAATGACCCACACACAGATAGGGCTACACTGGTATACTGGAGGTGGTTTCCCTCGTGCCAGGACCAAGGTTGAAGCCCTCTCTGCAGTGGGGATGCAAGCTCCTGTGTAGTTAGTGCTTGATATGTGCATGAAGTCTACCCTGGACCATGAAAAGCTGCAAATCTGAAGTTCTCATGTTGTCATGAGGTTGTAGAGTAGTTGCAAAGCAAATGAGATTCCCGTCCTTCCATGTCTGCATCTCACTGTTCCCTGACATTGAGAGACCCTGACCACACCAACCTCCCTTTTGTCTTTTACTCCTTGAGGCATGTGCCCTTGGTGGAAGCATGACGAAGGAGTAAGGAGCCTCCAGGAAAGAGGAGACTTTCTGTGTGCAAAGCAGTTATTGTTAGAACTGTTTAATCCCTTAAATTCAGGATTTGACCATAACCTTGACCTCACCCAAGAAAAGTGCCAGCACAGAGGATGATTCATGAGAGCAAGCAATCATCTAGGTCAAGGTAGGCCCACAAACATAAATGTTATATTCAATAGAGAAATATCTCCTTGTGAAATTCTATTTTTTGTAATGCTGGACTGAAGTGAGCTGCAATTATTTTGGCAGGATGTTCTGAGAAATCCTTTCAAAAAATCATTTGCTGAATGATGAGATTTTTTCTTTTAAAGAGAGGTTTTCATTTTTTTCTACATTGGTGAAAAGACACACTGAAGCAAATGAATAATTGGCCGAACATGGAATATGTAACATGCTGTGTGAGAACTGGATTCATTCAAACCATCAGTTGTCAAAAATTAGTTCCTATTCTGGGGACATAGCAATTGAAAATATAATGACATAAATCTAAAATGGTTAAGTTGGGCTCTCTGCTGTGTGTAAGTGGAGAAATGGCATACTTTAAGTTATGCAATTGCTCTGCTGAGCTTTCATTTAATCCAAACTATGTGTTCTTAAGCAGCAGCCATATACGGAGGTTGCAAATGTGTTTTGGGGTACTGTGAGTGTTCAGGGCTAGTCTTCCTCAGTGTCAACAGCTCTTAGGCTCTCTGTGTTTAACAATTCAAGAAACTCCGGGAAACTCAAGAGAGTTGGTTACTTACAGAAAATTGCTAGCTTCTTCTGGAGAAGATATATGAGCTAGGGAAAAGTAGCTATATTCCTGTAAAATGCTTGCGAAAGTGTAAACATGATAAATGGAAGGTTTGCAGACACTTCATATATAAAATCAAGCCTTATCATAATCTTTTAAAGATCTATTTTGAAACTTATTTAAAACTGAGCAAACTGATTTCCAAAGTAAGTTTAAATTAAAATTAAAGACTCTAAAATAAGAGTTGTGGACGCAGATGAGAACGAAACTCAGGTTGTGAAGAGTGAATTGCCTTGCAGTTGGCAAATGATGAGAAAAGGCAGATGAAATGCTACAGCTTAGGCGAATTTCAATTCACAGTCTCTTTGCACAAGATTTTTTTTTTCTTTTACAGGGTTAAAGGCATCACAAAATCTGCTTTTTTTTCTTTCAGAGTTTTTATTTTTGGTTTTTGTTTCATAATGGTTTTATTTTCAGTCCTGAATGCAAAGCCCAGATAAGGATTTTCTTTTATTTTTTTTTTCTGGGACTGTTTTCATCTGACAGATTATTGGTTCCAATTTATGATTTCCTTGGCAAAGAACCATACCACAAGGTTTCTGCCTCTCCAACATTCCACCTTCTAAATAAACAACACTCTATATCCTGACTCTCAAAAGAGAGGATATGACTTGAACATTATCTTTATCTGCCTAGGGTCAGCAGCATCAAAAGAATCAAGAGCAAAATTTGACATACACACTTTTCGAAAAGAGGGCTATCAGCAATTGTTTTACCTCAAATACACTTAATAAAAAAAAAAAAAGATTTGGTCTCAGAGAAAATAATTAAATTGTCTACCTAGTCCTGCTGCTCTGTAGAGCTTTCTAGGTAATCTGAGGTTTGGCTGACTTTTCCATGTTATTAATATTTTTGCCTGCAAAGCCTTTTGTAGAGTTTTTTCATTATTTCATTTATAACATATACTTCTACCTTTGATGCTATCCTGATTATCATTAATACTGATCTGTATTTTCAAAGCATCTATAGTTCTAGACGAGATTATTGTGATCATAGAATCATAGAATCATAGAATGCTTAAGGTTGGAAGGGACCTCTAGAGATCATCTAGTCCAACCCCCCTGCACACGCAGGGTCACCTAGAGCACGTGGCACAGGACTGCGTCCAAGCGGGTTTGAAGATCTCCAGAGAAGGAGACTCCACAACCTCTCTGGGCAGCCTGTTCCAGTGCTCTGGCACCCTCACTGTCAAGAAATTTTTCCTTAAGTTCCTATGGAATTTTTGGTGCTTCAGTTTCCGGCCATTTCCTCTAGTGATACTTATGTAAAAATAAAAAAAAGAATTTTCTGGTTGAAAGACTTAAGAGCTATTAATTTGAAGCTATCCACCTGAAAAGTATGAAAGTCTGATATAAAAAAAAATGAAAATTAGATTAGTGTTTCCTGACATTCAGTAACTATTCCACATCTAATGATATATTTCAGTAAGATATTTTTGTTTTCCAAAAATGGAATTTAGTGTCTGATCCTATTCTTGCACATTCCACGTTTATTACTCAAACTTCTAGCTCCAGGATCACCCACTTATAAAAACATTTTCCTACCCTGCTTTCTGATAGGCAGATCTTTAAAATTGACAGAGATGACTGTTTCATTCTTGTAGCCATATTTAACTAACCAGTTTCTTACATTATTTTCTTATTTTCTAGAGTGTAAATTTTTGCAAGTTTTTACTTTCTCTCATTATTCAGAATATAATATATTCAGGAACTCTCTGCATGTTTACATTTAAGGAGGAAACATGGTAGCAGACAGAGAGATGGGAGCTGCAAAGATGTTTATTAGTTGAAGAAATTGTAGTTAGTTTAATGGAATAAGATTTTATGTGGTTGAAAACATCTGTCAGTGAGGCAGGTTAGACCTGAATAGAAAGGGCTCAATGAACATGAAACAGTTTGATGGGAATTCTACAGGCAAATTTGTATGTAAGCTGTCAATGTTCTTCCAGTTAAGAAAAACAAATCTGTGTAATAAATCAGAAACCAGTGGTTGGTGAATGATGACAGTGACTAATGTATGGATATTTTGATTAATAGAATGTCACTGTGTACACATGCTCTTACACACACTCATGCACTTTTCTGGCATGAGAAATGCTTTCCCATCTTTGTTCTCAGCCTGAACCACTGTGCATATGTTATACAATCATCTATTTTTACGCTCTCACCTAAGGAGTTCATGAACATTATGAATGTGGGTAATAAAGTGAAGACTCCTTGTTTTAAGGTAAGAGTTGATGAGGTGTTTTAGCTGTTCCTGATTGCATCCATCATGCAGATGAAGATGTCCGTTATAAGTGTATATAATCAAATGTTACTGACAGAAATCTAAATTGTTTGAATATGCAGGAGATAGGGCAACTGTTTTTCGCAAAGGCCTTTGAAGCAACTTGGATTTATACTAAATCTGATGGCCTGTGTATAACTGGATAATTTTATACTTTCAGTGAATAGT